TGGATAATGTTTTATTTAAATCTTGTTGTTACACAAGTGTAAAACTCTAGGAAGGATTATAATGCCTTACAGAACTATTTGAAGGAATAAGTAGAATTAAATGGTAAAATATAAAATAGAACCTTGCTCATTCACACTTTGATGAAATGCAGACACGCCGTGGAAGCAGATTCTCAAGTTTTTATTTCAGTGTAGAGCAGTGACGTTCTCCAGCTGTTCTGGGTGCACTGCCAGTGCTGGTGACAACATATTTTCTCTGTCAGCTTTGTATCTAGATGTATCTGTATCATTCATTGCCCAATTACAGGATTTTTGTTACTGACAGTGCTAGGCTCAGATGAGTTTCCTCTTTGCAGCTTGCCACTTCAAAAAGAAACCAGGGAGAAGGAGGCAGCTGTATCTTTGAAACAGTACATGGCACTAGGTTAGTATCTGTTTTAGAAAGTACTGCACCACCAAATATAATTAGGAAAAAAAAGAGAAGGGAAGATCTGGTGAAAGACTAGTCAGGGGTTCAAATGCCTTATTTGAGCCAGGGGAAATAGTCTTTTAGGCTTGAGCTTCTCTTTTATTTTATTCTCAGCAGTGTAATTGCTCTGAGTATTAAGTAAATAAACATAGGACAGGGTTCTGTTTTTGCTCCTGGAATGCTGTAAAAATGGAAATGTAATTTTTAAAGGATCTATATCTCGCTGGTTTCAATGGGAGTAGAAGATGCTCAGCACCTAACAGGATTGGGTCCTAAATTAATCAAGGGGTGCTTTTCAGCTTGGACAGACTTAATGTCACTCTAGCATTTTTATAAAATAAAACATAAACTTACAAGAAACATAAACTTACAAAAAAATTTCAGATTGTGTGACAGTGTCATGCAAGTGCTTACGCAAGGTGTTGATCAGCTAACCAAGTGAAATGTTGCCTGTAACGTGACAGAAGACTAATTCTAGATTTGGAATATCGCGATACTTAGCTTCAGTTAATTTATACCTCAGTTTTAACTGAGTGAGTTAGTTTCCCCCAGCAGAATTTTCATAGTAAACATAAGTATTACATTTGAATGTAGAACTGAGAACTTTTAGTGATGGAGAAACATGGTAAAAACCTTCTTCTCTTTCAGTTTACATATGACCTGCAACTAAATTGTGCGTTAAATATACTTTTTTGTCAAAATGAGAATCCTGCATTTTCAAAATCTCCTAATGCGTATCCTTTGATTCAGAAGTGTTTTATTTTAGTGTCTGACTAATCTCTGCTTTGATGATAATTTGAATGAGCTTTGTATGTGAAAGCCGTACTAATCCTTGTGCTTACTGTTTGAATGTTTGGTACAGGAAGCGAGCAGCTGCAAAACATCTAATAGAACGCTACTACCACCAGTTAACCGAGGGCTGTGGAAATGAAGCCTGCACAAATGAATTTTGTGCTTCCTGTCCAACTTTTCGCCGTATGGATAACAATGCAGCAGCCATTAAGGCCCTCGAGCTTTATAAGATTAATGCAAAACTCTGTGATCCTCATCCCTCCAAGAAAGGAACGAGCTCATCTTACCTAGAAAACAATTCCAAAGGTGCCCATAACAACTCCTGTACTGACAGAAAAATGAACAAGAAGGAAATGCAAGGCCCGAGAGATGACTTTAAAGGTAAGGCATTATAGAATCTTTATAAAATAAAAATTCCTAAAAATGGTGGTGTTGGAAGCTTGTAGATTTTTCTCATGTCCAGTATATAGATCTAAAATTACAACTCTAGGTAATAATCTGTGAACAGTTATACAGGATTCTGGGTTGGAGGCAGATATTGTAATAAAAACTAGTGATTTGGTTATTAGGATGTTCAGAATTGTTGGATAGCAAGTAGTGGTTATGAATATCTAACTATTATTAGATTGGATACTGGTAGCCTGTATGGGAAAGAGAACTGTACTGGAGTAGGCTAGATATTGCGGGAAATTGGATGGAGATTTCTGGAGAAAAAGATGGGGTTATATGTGGAAGGAGAAAGCATTGAATTCAAACACTGTGGATAAAATGCTGGAAAGGGAACCTAAGGCTCTCAGTGGGAGAGAGCTGCAGGTTTGGTGTGGAGGGGAAAAGCCAGGCCATGACTGTTGCTACATAACTATTTAAGTATTCGGTATTTGGGCTGCATTTTAGAATAAGATTTTTACAAATACTACAAAAGGGCTGGATTCATGTCCAGAATTGATTTCAAACTGGATATTCATCGCATCCCTGCTAAAATATATGGGTGGATTAGGTTACTATGGAAACATGTTTTCTTTTGTCTTAAAATTTCAAAAGTTAGTGTTGTCATGTGCTAATGTAACGGATGCTTCAGTACTGCCAGTTTACTGCTTAGTCACATGACTCCTCAGTTGAATAGATTCTCAAGATTGTACCTTTTCATTTTTGGCCTCTGAATTCTGTGTTTGGGAACAGACAGGTAAAGGAGGAAAGGAACAGTCAAAGGGCCAGCTTGGTTTCATGGTTTTCAAGCTTGGGTGAGGAAGGGCCAGTCAAAATAGAGTCTATTCTAGAGTCTGGGTTTGAATTGTACCTTCCTTTGGTACTAGGATGAGGAGGATTTATGGCCAAACTCCAGAAAACCAGCCAGTTCTTACAGTGTGGCTTTGTGCTGAGCCTGTTGATATTCCACACACGCAAATCATTAACTTACAGATAAGGTTGCTACAGTAAACACAGAAATTTGCCTGCTTAATGTCATAATTAAAAACAAAAAAAACAGCTAAGGATGTATAATGTTAATTCCTTGGTTGTTAACGGAAAAAAAAATACCTGTCCTGTGGAAAGATCTTGTTTAGACCTACATCTATAAAAGCTAAAACGTATGCTAAAACAAATTCATTTGTAATTTAGAGATCTGAAAAAAATACAACATCCCAAAACTGTCACTTCATACTTTTTTGAACACTTAACAGTTGAACCTGTTTACTTCTGGCTTTCCAGAAAATTACATCTGTACTCCGAGTGACTTGTGTAACTTTGGTTATGACCAATACTTTACTTCCATCCCTAGCAAAGACTGAAATCCCACATTAACTGAAAAACCCAAAGCCTTTAACTGTGGAGCTGCCCATCATATTTCCAAAATTAGTATTACTAAGGTACTGTTGCAACAGGTTGTGCAGACATGCAAGTTGGGATATACTAACAATTAACTAAAAGGAAGGTATAACCTTTTTAGCAAAGGATAAAGGGATGTATTGCACCTGTAGTGTACCATCCTGTTTGTATTATAGTATTGTTACAACACCTAGAGGCCCCAGTCAGGATTGGGGACTATTTTTGTTAGGCACTATATACAAGACCATAGTGAGAGATGGACCTGGCCCCTAATTTCTTACAGGGTTGGGGAAAGTGAACCAACATCTAGACCCGGGGTCGGCAACCTTTGAGAAGTGGCGTGCCAAGTCTTTAATAATTTAAGGTTTCGCGTTCCAGTAATAAATTTTACAGTTACAGGAGCCCCCCAACAGAACCCCAGACTGGCAGCGGGCTGAGCGGGGCCGGTGGCCGGGACCCCGGCTGGCAGAAGCATGCCAGTAAAAATTGGCTGGCGTGCTGCCTTTGGCATGCGTGCTGCAGGTTGCCGACCCCTGATCTAGACAGAGTGATTGTTGCAAGTGTCACTTTCTGCATTTTTGTGGTGAGAGGGAATTCTGTCTAATAATCTGTCTTTAATCTTTCTATATTTAACAGGGTGTTTTTAGTTTCTCTTCTACTTCACAGCTATGTGCATAGATTCTAGACAATGGTTTCCTTGGAACTCTGGAGGCAGACCAATCCTGTGAGTCGCTGCTTCAGGCTAGGCCCCAACCACTGCAGAACCTGCCAGTATTGACCTGTCTCCATAGCTGCTTGGACAGACTGACCATCCTCTGCAGAGCATTAGTGCCTAGAGGAAAAAACTTCTGAAGTCCATTTGAGGCTCCCAACTAGCTTTGGAACCAAAATTTACTTCTGAGGAATTTGAAATCCTGAATTACTGCAGTGGTCCTTCTGCAGCTGCAGTGCTGGGGAAATAGCAATCAAATTTTAGAATGCCAAGGAAAAGGGTAAGCAACCTGCTATTACATTTGATTCTGAACAGCAATTTTGAAGTGACTAAATCCAAAAGCTCAACAGCTTCCCCAAACAAAGCCCACCAAGTCCATTGTTAAACAACCATCTGGGTTTGCCTTAGCCATCTGTGCTACTGACCATAAACCCAACTCAGGCCAGTCTCTCAAAGCTGCAGCCCCAATTCATAGAAGAAAGTGTGGGACCTTTGTTTCATTTGCTGTTAAGGAGAGAGACCATTTTCTTTTGGTCAGATCACTTCAGGAAGGGAGTCACATCAGCCTCTGTCTCTTCAGTCAGCCCAAGAGAAAGGAGCAACCCTCCAAGGAGTTAGCAGTGTTCCAAGAGCAACCAGGGGAGTAGTTGTGGCAACTACTGCTAGAACTTCTGCTGACTCGTTGCCAAAAATTCTCTGAGATGGTGCTTTATGCTGCTGCTACTGACCATGGCCTTAGCACCATACTCTTTCTGCTCATGGACAACTCGCTGCAAGAACAGAACATCTAGCACAGATGACAGAGTAGAAACAAACGGTCAGTTTTTAACAAGGCAAAAGATTGGCAATGAGGTATCCCGAAGTCCCATGTTCTGTTGTTGTTTAATATATATACTTTCAAGATCTGGAAAACAGGATGAATGATGAGGTGACAAAATTTGGAGATGGCTCACAATTGTGGAGGTTAAATGAGACAAATATAAGAAAGATGTAACGAGACTAAATAAATGGGTAAATAGTAGCAAATAAATCACTGTTGAAAATGCAAAGTAATGTACTTCGGTAGAAATAACTTGAACTACTCATATTGCTGGGTCCTAAAAAGTGTGACCATGCAGGGAAAAATATCTGGGTGGTGGTGTCAAGAGCTCAGTGCAGATCTCTATGCAATGTTTAATGACACTCAAAAAAGCAAACGTGAAGATGTATAAAGTAGGCGCTGGAAAATATTTCTGAAAACAATATAATGCCACTATATAAATCAATGGCACACTCTCATCTGGAATGCTGTATTCAGTTCTGATCATTCTCAAAAAAAAAAAAGAATTAGATGTCCAGAGATGAGTGACAAATAGTTAGAGGTCAGAAAAAGCTTCCATATAAAGAGATTGAAAAGATTGTTTTGCTTAGGGAAACTCCTAAGAAGGGATAGGATAGAGACAAAATAACAAATGGTGCAAAAGTGATGGATCTGATGATCTTATTTGCCCTTTTCATAACACAAGAACATTCAATGAAATTGAAAGGCAAACGCACTTAATGATAGAAGGAAATACTGTGCATGACACACAAATGGAACTCATTGCTATAAAACATCGAGACCAAGCTTCAAAAAAATACTTTTTTTGAAAAGCGTCATCTGTTTATATGGGTAATGTGAACGACCCATAATTGCATGAGAGAAGGCGAAGGTGAAAAAATTTGGAAGGAATCTATAACCTCATACTTCTGGACATATGTCTAGCACTAATATATAGGAAGGAGATAGAAACTTTCCTGTGGTCATTTTATTCTGTAATTGTTCGCTATGTGAATTCTTGCATCTGGTGCTGATAACTATTAGAGACAGGATATTGGACTGGTCTGGTATGGTAGTTCCTATGTCACTGGTAATGTTACCAAGATATAAACACATCAGTTGGACTGTGCTTATAGGGTATGAAGCTATAAAACTTGTGTTAAGTGCCTGGAATGCAAGCTATTTGGTCAGAAACATGCATTAAATATGTTTTTTATTATGTTTTTCGGGTGTTAACATGGAAGAATATGATACATATATTCTTGCTGGAAGTGGGTGAGATTTGAAATGCAGTATATTTCAACAATAATCACTATCATAAAATGATCAATTTGTTATACAGTCCAGCTAATAACCACTGTAGTCCAGGGCCAGTGAATTTAGTACTTCATAAACCAGGTTTATGAAACTTATCATGTGGCATAGAACCGAAAATATTTGAGATAGTTGACTATCACTTTCTTTTTATATCACAATTTGGTTTCTAGATGTATGCTGCAACAAACCTAAAGTATACTTGTAGTTAATGGAATTACTTTCTAGTACATTCAGTACTACAGCTTTGTATTTTAGCAAAATTTTATGCAAATGAGCGGAGTCTGCTTTTTTTCCACATGGACAAGAAGTTAAAGATCTGAGTCCTTCCTCTATTTTCAGGAACATTGTTCCTATATGAACTTCCACAGATTATTAGAAAAATTGGAGTTTGGTTTTTCTGCACAGCCACACTTCTGTAATCCTTATATTTTGCCAGTTTTCTTAAGTCTGCAACATATTCCTTAGAAATTTAAATTTCCATTTTTCATTCTCTGATGATCTGGTCTGTCTCACCTGGGCTTAGTCCCTACCTCCCCCAGCTTAGTTCCTTTGTTTCTTCAAGTGTTGTTAGCAGTCTTCCTTCTTGGGCAGGGGGGCAGTGGAGAAGAGCCAAGATTAACTCACTCCCCAGCCTTAAATAGGATTTGCATGTGGCGGGAATGCTTTGTTTCCTAGTTTGATTCCAACCCCTTTCCCGTGGAAAAGTACCAGCATTTCAAGATGGTAACCTGTACCAAGTAACATGATCACATGACCCTGCAGTGTCAAAGCAGCATCCCAGGAAACTTCTCAGGAAGGTGGGAGATTAGTATCTTCAAAGTCCTATTGTCCTTCCTAATGGCCCATCCAGGCTGATTGCATACTGTCTGGTGAGCATTCCCCAAGTATACACATGGTTGTAATTATTACATAGTCAATATTTCTAACTTCAGATACAGAAATGATGCATGCATACAAATTGGATAATCACATTCAGTAAATCATAACCTTTCCAGTGATACCTCACATGACCCGTCTTGCATAAAACATCTTAGTTATGCCATATTCAAATCATAACAATATTTCTATGAAGAATATGGGGCATAATATCACAGATGTTAAACAGCAACTACTAAAGTAGTTATTATTGGGAGTGGACTACATCCACCCTGATTGAATTGGCCCTGTCAACACTGGTTCTCCACTTGCGAAGTAACTCCCCGCTCTCCATGTGTCAGTATATAATGCCTGCATCTGTAACTTTCACTCTATGCATCCAAAGAAGTGAGGTTTTTACCCACGAAAGCTTATGCCCAAATAAATCTGTTAGTCTTTAAGGTGCCACCAGACTCCTTGTTGTTTTTGTAGATACAGACTAACACGGCTACCCCCTGATACTAAAGTTAGACATTTTTAAATCAGCAGATCTGGATAACGTGCACCCAAGAGTTTTAAAAGAGCTGGCGGAGGACCTTGCTGAACTGCTAATGTTGATTTTCACTAAGTCTGGGAACCCTGGGGAAGGTCCAGAAAACTGGATCAAAGCTAATGTTGTGCCAATATTTTAGAAGGGTAAACAGGATGACCCTGGTAATGATAGGCCTGTCACTCTGACATTTATGCTGGGCAAAATAATGGAGTGGCAGATACAGGACTCGATTAATAAAGAACTAAAGAAGAGTAATGTAATTGATGCCAATCAACATGGGTTTATGGAAAATAGATCTTGTAAAACTAGCTTGATGTATCTTTTTGATGAGATTACAAGTTTGATAAAGATAATGGTGTTGCTGTAATATACTTAGATTACTGTAAGACATTTGTCTTGGTAGCACACAATATTTTGATTTAAAAAAATAGAACAATATAAAATTAACATTTCACACATTAAATGGATTAAAAACTTGCAAAGTGATAGGATGTTCTCAAACTGTAATTGTAAACGGGGAATCATCATCAAGCAGATGGGTTTCTAGTAGGATCCCACAGGGCTTCGTTCTTTGCCCTATGCTATTTAACTTTCTATCAGTGATCTGGAAGAGACCATAAAATCATCACTGATAAAGCTTGCAAGTGACTTAATATTGAGAGAGTGGAATAATGAAGAGGACAGGTCACTGATACAGTGTGATCTGGGTCATTTGGTAAACTGAGCATAAGCAAATAATGTGTGTCTTAATACTGCTAAATGTAGGCTATAATTACAAAAAGGGGCACTCCGTCCTGGGAAGCAGTAATTCTGAAAAAGACTTAGGGGTCATGGTGGCTAATCAGCTGAACATGAATTCCCAGTACAATACTGCGGCCAAAAGGGCTAATTCAATCATTGGATGTGTAAACGAGAATCTTGAGAAGGAGTGGAGAGATTGTTACTTCTATATTTGGCACTGGTGCAACTGCTGCCAGAATACTGTGTCCAGTTCAGGCATCCACAATTCAAGAATGATGTTGATAAATTGGAGATGGTTCAGAAAAGAGCCATGAGGGTTATTAAAGGTTTGGAAAACATGCATTATAGTGATTGATTCAAGGAGCTCAATGTGTTTATTTTAACAAAGAAAAGGTTACGGAGCAACTTGATTAGTCTATAAGTACCTACATGGGGAATAAATATTTGGCTCTTCAGTCTGGCAGACAAGGGTATAACAATATTCAATGGCTAAAAATTGAAGCTAGATAAATTCAGACTGGAAATGAAGTGTAAATTTTTAACAGGGAGGATAATTAACCATTGGAACAGTTTACCAAGGGTTGTGATGGATTCTCCATCACTAGCAATTTTAAATCGAGATTGGGTGTCTTTTTTAAAAAGATATGTTCTAGTTCAAAAGTAATTATTTCGGGGAAGTTTTCTGGCCTGTGTTATACCAGAGGTCAGACTAGATGATCACAATGGTCCCTTCTAACTTTTGGATCTGTTAACCTTTTTAGGTTCTGATCCTATAAACATTTAGGCATGGTAGTAACTTTATGCACATAGGTAATTCCACTGAAATCAATGAGATTGGTGTAGGTAAAGTAATTTATAAGTAACTTACAAACAATTTAACTGTTTGCAAGATCAGGGCCTCAGAAGGGCTTCTGAAGGAATGGAGAGAAAAGCAGCAACAGTAAAGAGGAAAAAGGATAAATCTTAAATCTTTCACCAAAATAAGATTTTTTTCGTATCTATGAGAATCACAGTTTGGCACCCACTGAAACTACCTTTTTAAAAATCAACTTGTGTAGACTTGAATTAACATTAACAGATATTCTTAAGGTTGCCTACTAGAGTTTTTTTAACTAATAAAGTGGCCCAGCACATACAGAAGAACCCCTTTGATTCAAGGCCGGTTATGTATGTCATATACATTGCAGCATGAATTTCTGAGATTGATATTGATTATATATTGGTTTTTTGGAATGCTTTTCAGACATGTTATGTTTCATATTCATGAGATTTTTTTGAAACTGTTGCAGAAATTGCTACTATAAATGACTATATTATCCTTCATTTACTGTATCATAAAATAAACAACTGACTAGCTCTCTTGTGAAGAATCTATTTTTTTAAAAAAGTTAACATTTCTTATGGTACCTTAAAGTAAATAGTTGCTACTGAGCAGTGACCATACTTTTAGTAATTTTCAGCTTAGTTACTTTAATGGGCATTTGATCAACAGATGTTTAAGAACTGTGTAAAGATTAATTTAAAACAATGGTATCCTGTCCTATAACATCAAATGGAGGCAGTTTTACCAAGTACGTTGATGGGTTGGTCTTCATGCTTTAAGGTTTTTAAAGTTTTACACATTTAAACATTTTACTGACTTTGTTTCCAGGATATAATACCATTATATATTACCAAATGTATTTCATTTTTCCTACAATTCTGTTGCAAAGCTCTCATCATTGCAATTGACTCCTAGGTCACAGAGCTCCATAGAAGTAAAGAGTAAAACATTCGAGTACGATAGATACTGCAAATTGATGAGTTTGTTTCTTCATGTTAATGAAATTACAAAGTAAATTTGTCTTAAACTCATTCAACAATGTCAGAGTAGGAGGTATTAGATGTGAGGTGGTGGTAAAAAATTGTGTATATCATTGCAACTTGATAAAAAGTGAATGTATTTACTGTATCAAGTAAATTTCAAGTGTGGTCTCTTTTTTTAACTTTATAGATGTGACTTACCTAACAGAAGAGAAGGTAGATGAAATTCTTGAACTGTGTAGAGAGAAAGAGGACTATTCTCCTCTAATCCGTGTCATTGGGAGAGTGTTTTCTAGTGCTGAGGCATTGGTACAAAGTTTCAGAAAAGCCAAGCAGCATACCAAGGAAGAGCTGAAGTCTCTTCAAGGAAAGGATGAAGATAAGGATGAAGATGAAAAAGAAAAAGCTGCCTGTTCAGCTGCTGCGATGGAGGAAGATTCCGGAGCATCATCATCATCTTCATCAAGAGTAGGTGACAACACACAAGGAGATAACAACCTACAAAAATTAGGCCCTGATGAAGTATCTGTAGATATTGAAGCAGTCAGACGGGTCTACAGTAGATTACTTTCTAACGAAAAAATAGAAACTGCCTTTTTAAATGCACTTGTGTACTTGTCACCTAATGTAGAATGTGACTTGACTTACCATAATGTGTACTCTCGGGATCCTAACTATCTGAATTTGTTTGTAATTGTTATGGAGAATGGTAATCTTCATAGCCCTGAATATCTGGAAATGGCTCTGCCTTTGTTTTGCAAAGCAATGAGCAAGCTACCCCTTGCAGCTCAAGCAAAACTAGTCAGATTGTGGTCTAAGTACAGTGCAGAGCAGATTCGGAGAATGATGGAAACATTTCAACAGCTTATCACCTACAAAGTCATAAGCAATGAATTCAACAGTCGGAATCTAGTGAATGATGATGATGCCATTGTTGCTGCTTCAAAGTGCTTGAAAATGGTTTACTATGCAAATGTAGTCGGAGGGGATGTGGACACAGACCACAATGAAGAGGAAGATGAAGAGCCCCTCCCAGAATCCAGTGAATTAACTCTTCAAGAGCTTCTGGGTGAGGAAAGAAGAAATAAGAAAGGGCCTCGAGTGGACCCACTGGAAACTGAGCTTGGTGTAAAAACTATAGATTGCCGAAAACCACTTATCCCTTTTGAAGAATTTATTAATGAACCACTGAATGATGTTCTAGAAATGGACAAAGACTACACTTTCTTCAAAGTAGAAACAGAAAACAAATTCTCTTTTATGACATGTCCCTTTATATTGAATGCTGTTACCAAGAACCTGGGATTGTATTATGACAATAGAATCCGCATGTACAGTGAACGACGCATAACTGTGCTCTACAGTTTAGTTCAAGGACAGCAGTTGAACCCATATTTGCGACTCAAAGTGAGACGTGATCACATCATAGATGATGCACTTGTCAGGGTAAGTCATGCAACAATGTAAAACTTAAATATGCTATACTGTAATAGTAGCTAGAACCCTTCACTACCTCAAAAGCAAAAATGTACTTATTAGTTATTAGGTTTCTTCAAGGTGAAATGGGTCGTACAAACTTAAGGTCCTATCCTGCACACACTATTGAGGGTATAGCATCATGGGACTACTTTGGATAGTAAGCATGACCCCTCTGATGCTTGCAGACTTTGAACCTAAACTGATAAACATCTTGTCCATTAGTAGTGTGGTGTCCAGTATTGAATGCAGCCCTTGCTACTGGACATTGGCATGCCAACTCCTTTCATGTCTATTTAAGCTCCTTATTTTCCCTTGAACAAACTTTCTTTAAATTATCCTTTGGGGCTGAAATGTTCTATACTTGACCTTAGTCAAAAGGTGAATTTTATTTTTCAGGAGGGAGTTTGAACAAAAGCCATTACATTGTTTTGAGTTCCACAAAAGAGAGAAGTTTCTTTTATTTAAAAAATTAATTTTTTGAATGCACACATAATGAGTAAAATTTACATTTTAAAATACTCCTGTGGTTTCATCAAAGTATATTAGTAAACCACAGCTTGTAGGGCAGAAGGAAGAGTGGCTTCGAGCACCTGAAAACTGCACCAGTAACCTGCTAATACGTACTCTGACAAGCCTTATTACTCTAGGGGTATGGCTTCTTAAATTAAAACTCAGTATTAAAAAAAAAATTGCTAGAACCACTTTTGAGCACAAAGGAATTAGTGGGTTATGCAAGGCATTCACTATGAAAAATAGTGCATAGTAGATAAATAACATGTAATGGAGAGAAGTTATAAACATATTTTCTCATATGAATATAACAATTTAACTTTTTTTTAAGGTTCGCTTGTCTCAGACCACTTCTCCCCTTCCAAGTCTTTCTATGTGCTCAGCTACTGTTTACCTATAATTTCTGTTACTAACAAACTACATTGGTGATACTAAATTTATTTAGTTTATCCTGTTACTGAAAAAACAGAATTGAGAGCCCCAAGTAAGCTCCCAGTTCAATGTTGTGAGAACATTTTAACTTTCAAACAGCCTGGCTGCTTCTTGACTGGTGATAAGTATGACCAAACTTAGTCCTGCTTCAAGTACTAGCGCGGAACTTGTGGAGGAAAAATGGCTTTTTTTTTTTTTTTGAGACATTCAGCACCTGAGAAACAGCCAAGTTGTTGTAAAGCTTAACTTTACTCCGTGTACCAATCTTTTATCATTTGAGTAAGAATGTGCTTAGTGATTTCACCGCTTGTCTGGTTTATAGCTATAACCAAATATGTGGTGTTGTGTTTAACCTAATGGGATTATTGCATAAACTCCAGGTGGCTTCTAGATGCTTAAATTCTGGGGGACAGCAGGAAGCAAAGTACACTTTTTCTGTTTATAATACTCTGAGAGGATGGGCTAAAACTAGATAACAGCCAGTTTCAAAGGAGTATTAAACGTTGTAAATTCATGCAAGGAGGACTGATCGGGGAGGAAAAAAATATGCAAATATGTGAAAAAGCAGTCAAGGCTTATCTACGCTTACTGCGCAGCAGCGGCACGGTTACACCGGTGAAGGTAGTGAAGACGTTACCTACACTGAAGGGAGAGCTGCTCCCATTGGTGTAGGTACTCCACCTCCCTGAGAGGCAGTAGCTATATCCACAGGAAAAGTTCTCCTCTCAACATAGCGCTTTCTACACTGGTGGTTGGGTTGGTATAACTATGTCACTCAGCAGTGTGAATAAATCAGAGCACTGAGCAATGTAGTTGTACCAGCATACGTTGGTAGTGTAGACCAAGCCTTAGAAGGAGATTGCTTATTGTGGAAGGAAATTGAAATCTTTTGACAAGAACAAAAGAACTGATTTCCCTGCCTCCCAATGTTAATCTGAGGAACATGTGCATTTTCAACTGGCTCAGTTTTGATTGCTTTCTAATAAACCTGATCTCAGTTAAGACAAGCGGAATTGAATTGTGGTGTGTGTTAGCTGGGACAAGAGCTGCTGGCCTTTCCTGGAAATAAAGACCACCTTTTCCACCATTAGGGAAGTGAAGGTTCACTTTCTTTGTCAGGCAAGGGAACTGTGGGTGCCCTCCCCAACAGATACAGTAAGGGATCTCATGTAGGCTGGTGTGGACATGAAGAAATCCATTAGACCTAAGGAATGCTGTGCAAAGATACAAAATGTGACACTTTGGCCTGGCTCTTATATAACCACAAAGTGAGATAAACTAGTTACAACACATCTCCTGATACATTACAGTTTGAGATATGAATGGCACCAAATCCCAGTTTTTTCCTCTAAATACTAGATAACACTGCTTTCCTGCTCCAGGGTTTTTACCTTGGTCCATAACAACATAAAAACCCTGGAACAGGAAAACTGTGTTATCTAGTAGTTAGAGGGGAAAACGGGGATTTGGGTTACCTGGGTTCTGTAATATGCTTAGCCACCTCATTGTAAAGCATTTTGAGGCCTTTTGACAAAAAGCAATTACATGAATGCCAACCAAATATTAAGTATCCCAGTTTGTATGCAAATATTTATAGTACCTTTCTTATTTCTCTGTCCTCACTGGTATTCAAAACAATTTGTAGTTTAATATCCTTAACTTCCATTATGATCAAGGAAATTTGTAACGTAAGACTAGGGGTTAAATTTTAAAAGCGCTTGATGAATGATGTAGGCTTCTAAGCCCCATTTTCAAAAGTGACTTAGGCGCATACAAGCTTGAATATGATTGAAAGTATTAGTAAATGGATATCGTTAGGATCACTTCCCCGATTTTCAAAGTAAAACTTTCAGATGTGACTAGATTAATAGTTAATTTGTTAAATACTTATATATAGTGTTTAGTTCATGGGTGAGTTAATGCTGCTGCAAGAATGTTTTTAATACTTTGACTTCTATACATTCAAATTTGCAACTTTCATGTTAATTTATCTTGGAGTTTTTGCATATTATGAAACTGTTTTATTGCTATGAACACTAATTAAGCTGTCTGAGCAACAGTAAGTCATTACATACTCAGCAGTCAATAAATGTACAGGTCTAGCTAATTTCTTCTTTATTAATTCCGTTTCATATGATGATTCACTTATAAGGAATAACTGCATTGTGAATAATTAGTTCCTTCAACCAGGTGCCTCATAACATCAGCTGAGGCATGCAGTAATCATCCCCAAATATATTGCCTGTGGTTTTATTGATTAGATTAAAATTGAGTTAGGAGGAGTATGTCCACTTAAGTACATAGAATTAGTTACCTGAAAAAATCTCCTGCATAATTTATTAATAAGTAGCATAAATAACTTTGTTGAACATTTGAAAAAACAGACTGCTAGCCACTCCATGATCACACTACTTGAGTACTGTCAAGTAGTGTAAAAATAAAACTTTGCTGACCCACTATTGTATTTTAATATAATATTAAACTAGTAGTTGAAATACTTCCTAGATAGCTGCTTTAATTTGCTTCTTGGTAGAAGGATGGAAAGGTGGTAGTGATTGTTGTTGATTAGACATACCTTTTATGCAAAATTTTATTAAAGTTCCATCTCTTTGCTCCGTCTACTTCCTTATACCTGTAGGGAAGCTGTTCCACTTTTTTTCATCTGTTGGATTAGAATGGACCACCTCAGAGTCATTACAGCTATGAATGAGCAACCTTAATTCCTCTCCAGTTTATACTCCTTGAATGGAATTAAGTTCCACTTGCAGAATCTTTATTGCCGATGGTCCCACACCAAGAAAGAACTCAGCTTGACTAATTCCAGGCTGAATTTGGAGGACTGTCAGTTAAGAAAACTATCCTTATTTGTAAATAGAGCAGATTTGACTGGAGTCATTAAGGGATAACTATGAAAGTATGCAGTGACACGGTCATTTTTGGAGTACAAGTAACTGCACTTCATGCAAGTTATACTTAAGATGACTTATGCCACCAGACTCTGATACTACTTTTCCTTCAAACTCTAGACCCACTGTGATTGTGCAGCTTCCTCCTTATGCTGGATGTGCTACCACAATCATTAGGCAGAGAACATTGATACTCTGTTCCAAGATTCTGAATTTTCTTCTGACAAACCATTTTGAATTTTAAAAAAATCTAAAAGTAATAGTTATTAAAATAAAACTAATTGTAAACATACTTAATTTTCTGTTTCCAAAAGTAAGGATTTGAATAATTTCTATGTTGTGATTAAAAAAAAATACAGGTCTAGCGTATAAATTGTGCGTTTGAGAGCACAAAATGTTCTTTTACTATTGCATGTCAAACAGTTTTTCCTTTGCCTCCATTGCAGTTTAGATATAGTTCACTGACTGTCTGTTAGTGACTGCAGTGGTCTGTTATCTATGCTTTCTACTAAGAGCTGTTTTTCCTGCTAAGCAGCAGTTGTCTGAGGGACAGGGTTGACCCTAGAAGCAAATAACCCTGCAGACTTGAATTGAGCTGCCCCAGGAACCTCGCCTAAACCTAACCTAACCTAACCTAACCTTGCTCTAACCTAGAGCATATTGTGGAATCAGGTCAGTGGCTCAGATAAGCCCACCTTTTTTGGCACTTTTAAAGCTGGCCTCCACATTAGACCTTCACTGGATATGTCTAAACTGCAGTGTAAGCCCAGGGTTTCTGGGACTCAAGTCCTCTGGCCCATGTTAGGGAACCCTGGTCTTAAGCATCTACATTATATTTTAACTCTATGTTAAGACTTTTCTAAAATGTGCTCGAACCTGCAGTGCACAGGCCTGAGTCAAAGTAACCATATCCCAGAGTTCCTAGCCCTCTCCCCTTCCCCACCTCCCCCACTGAAATGTGGCTGCTCTAGTCCTAGGACCATGGGGCATTGTGGGAAAACTGTACTGCCTGCCCTTCATGTTACCAGAAAGCAGCTCGATTGGCAAAAGGCTTGATTGGTTCGCTCTGCATTGCAAACTTAGGAGTCTCACTAACAGGGTGCTTGCAGATCATTGATC